CAATAGTATGTTTTATCCTTACAATAGGACTGTATCAAAATGGGGTACCAAGTCGGTTGCTCACGCCCATATATATATATATATAATTTCAGTCGAATACAAACCATCAAGTTTTTTTCGAGCTTCAGTTTTACTACGTGTGATTGTTTCACCTTTATAATTTTTTGGATTACGTGAACCTGTATGTTTAACAAGTATGTGAAGTACTTGTACTTGACCGCCATTTGTTGCTTTTCGTCCACTTGATGATTTATTATTCATAGAATTTGGATGTTCCCATTGACTTTCTTTTGTTACTGGATCAATATAATATTCTTTTCCTATATATAAAGTGAATTGCAAAAGTTTCAAACACTTTTTGCTTCGATCTTTTCTATGCATAGAAAAGAAGTTAAATGATATCTTTTCAGTATCATACAAAGTTAGAATCAATATCTACAAAACCTACTTATTCTTGATCTAATGAATTGTAGCGTGAAGCAAGACGAAGAAACTTCAATTTTTCTCTAACAGGTAAAGTTTAAAAAACTTTCAATATTTTAGCAATTATATAATTATCGAAAAAACGGACAACTTTGAAAAAATTAATTATTTACAATAATTAATAATTTTTGTCAATTACATTTGTTTTATAGTACATTTTGTAGAGCAGACTTTATTTTATCAAATGAGATCTTGTCAAAGTTCGGTAACTCAACTCAAAAGGATGATCAATTCAATTCAACTGACACCAGTCATATTGGAAGATTCTAGTCAATACATTTCTTGTTGTTGTTGATTGCATAAAAAAATTTTAATACATTCACGTCAGAATATAACTAGAACTATTTATTATTGAATGATTTAGAGTATTTATTCCACAACAAGAGCAGACTACAGAAGAAGGTCATAGCTGAATCAAATAATATTAAACAAAGATGAATACATCATAAGAGGTATATCTTCACAATATATATCATATCGGTCTACCCAAACCAATGCTATGTATGATATTGCTCTATGAGATAAGGATAAATGAACATTGTACCTCTAACTCGAACTAATAGAAAACGACATTGGTACGTTGAGAGCATAGGTGTATAAATTATATGCACTCAAGAAAAAAGAAGAGAGAGTAGTGATAGGTTGGTGCAAGTGCAACAGAAATATATGTCAAAATGCAAGTGTGCTACAGCTACCTCGAGATAAAAGCTTTGGAGAGTACTTACAATTTATGTCATAGTGATAACTTGACCTTTCATTAGTTTTATTGTGTAAATTAATCTTACAACAAGGCTTTTCGAAAATTCTTTGAGTTGAATTGAATTCAGTGTGTTTAGTTCTGGATCTTGTACTCTTCTATGCAATCTACTCATCATTTAATACAATTCTTTCATGTCTGATCACTGCTTTCAACAATGATTTTCAGTTATTTTTCGCTTGCTTCATAGCTCGATATATTCAGAGTGCTACATCTAACGAAGAACACATTACAGACAAGAGTGCAAAATTTATTTTCATAAAATAACTTGCTCTATAAAATGCATTATACTTTAAAGCTTTGAACTTTATGCATAGATTAGTTATTAATGGAATACTAATTAAATTTTTATTACTGCTAAAAAAAACAATGTTATAATGCGTAATTAGAAAACACAGATACGCAATGTTATTCAGTTTTCAATGCTCTTTCTTACCGAATACTTAAAGATGAAAATTTCTAACAAAATATTTCTTCAGTTAATAATTAATAAAAACTATTAATTATTAATATTAAATTATTATTAATAATAAATTTTCAGAAATTTTTATACTACAATATCGTATCTTCAATTTAATATTTGATTGTATATTTTTGAAGTGTTTTACATTTTTTCCTACGAGAGAAAAACTGAAGTTTCTTCTTTTTCTTCACGGTTACAATCAATTAGATCAAGAATGAATGGGTTTTGTAGATCTTGATTCTAACTTTGTATGGCACTGAAAAGATATTATTTAACTTCTTTCTTTTCGTTAGAAAAGACCAAAGTAAAAAGTGTTTTAAACTTTTGCGGTCCATTTTATTTAAGATTCGATATTGATATTTTATAATGTTTAAAATTAAAGGCATACCAGTACGACTTGACATTTTTCTAACCCAACCTGGTGGTAAATCCGACATTTATTGTAAAACAAAAAACAAAAAGACAAACAAAAATCTGAAAAAAAGATAATGTTATTTATATCCCTTGATTACATGACTTAATAGGAAAAAAGTGTTCAATGAGTTTTATTTATTTTTATTTTATTAGATTTCAATCGTTTTTTTTTCTCTTAATTTCTTTCAATAGAATTCATGCTAGGTTTATTGTTTTAGAAAAAGAAGAAAAAAAAAAAAATCTGATACACTTAATCATTACACACAAAGATCTGTTCAATAACACAAAAAAAAAAAAGAAAAAAGAAAAATTTGGAAAATAATATCATTAGTGTTGCTCATAAAGATGTGTCGATATGATCGATACGATCTGACGTATTTACGTACAACAGAAATAATTTTTTTGTTTACCATTTAACAAATCACACAATACACAACATGTTGTTGAGAATATCAGAAAATTACACAAATAGAAAAAAAGAAAATAGAAATAGACACGAAAATATCATGTCCAATATGAATAAATACACAAATGCACATTTTAGTTGAGCATCATGTTTTTTGTTTTGAATACAAGAAAAAGATTATTCGGTTTTTACTTGTCATCATTCATGCTTGTTGTATTCGTTGATGGTGGCCATGTTGTTACAAAATCATCAAAGCCACGTGCAAATGGATATGAATTATCACTATCCTTCTGTAAATTATTACCATCATTTGAACAAATTAATGTTAATAGTCGAATCATATTTATTTGATGTTACGGTAGACGAAGTACAAGATGGTCAGAAAGGATAGATAGACGTATGACGATAGGTTGCCCTCGTCGTTGAATGAAAATGAGAATGATAAACAAAGGATGATAAATGTGAAAGAAAAAACAGGAACATAGACATGAAGACTATAGTGCTGAATTCTATATTTAAATGTATCTCGATGGACGGATCATATTTTTCTCTTTCTTTTCGTTTCTGTGTTTACTCCATGAAACACCGCGATAATTATTTATATGTACTTATGTTAAAAGTAGAACGAAAAAAAAAAAAAAAGAATTGTTGTTTTCAAGCGTATGTTTAGTGTAAGATGGGTACTTGAGTTTAAATATAATTTCCTGTCTAGCGAGTATATTTTAAAATGTCGCATATTTTTTTTCGACAAGCAAACATTCATGCATAAATACGGAATGAAAAAATAAAACTGGATATTTAAAAGATCAAATTGCCATTCATACTAACACGTACTACATAAAAAAAGAAGAAGAAGAAAAAAGACGTGTTACAAACAATTATAATTTGAATAGGTTAATTAAATTATTGCGAACTTCGATCAACATCTTTTAATCCACCCATACAGATGTATTTCATATTAACATAATCATCTATTCCATATTTTGACCCTTCTCGACCAAAACCGCTTTGTTTAATTCCACCTTTTAGTCAAAATACAATATAATAAAGATGAAAAAAATAAATAAATAAAAATTTAGATTAATTACCAAATGGTGCTTCAACAGATGAAATAATTCCTTCATTTATACCAACCATACCAGTTTGCATTCGTTCAGCTACACGCCAAATTTGAGATAAATCTTGACTATAAATATATGCTAGAAAACAATCAAGGAAATATTTAATTGAAACTTGAATAAATTTTTATTTACCAGCTAAACCAACATCAACTGAATTAGCAATTTTAAGTGCTTCATCTTCAGTTTTAAATCTATGAATATAATAAAAAAAAAATAAAATTACAAAAAGAAAAAAGATTCTCTTTATTGTCTTACTTCATAATCGCAGCTACAGGTCCAAATATTTCTTCCTTTGCAACTCGCATAGATAACTTGACATCAGCAATAACTGCTGGTTCAACAAAAAAACCTGAAGTTTTTCCTTTTTTTTCTTTTCCACCTATTGACATAGAAGATAATTCTTATATATATACATAAATACAAACGTTTCTATTCTAACCAGTAACAATTCTAGCTCCTTGGTCTTGTGCATCTGAAATAAAATCAAGAATTCTTTCATATTGATCTTGATTAATAACAGGTCCTAAATGTGTCTTTTCATTTAAACCATCTCCAACAACTTGTTCTTTGATTTTTTTGATAAATTCACTAATAAATTCATCATAAATTCCCTAGATCATAATCTTACGTGTTTTTTTTTTAAATAAAAATATAAATTCTTACTTCTTGTACAAGAAATCGATTTGCACATACACATGTTTGTCCTGAAGCACGAAATTTCGATGCCATAGCACCTTGTACAGCTTGTTTAACATCAGCTGAATTAAAAACTAAAAACGGTGCATTACCACCAAGTTCCAATGATATTTTTTTTATTGTTGATGCACACATAGCCATAATCTTTTTACCAACTTCAGCTAAATTCAATAAAAAAAAATAAATATAAAACATCAAATCAAATTTTATTATTTTTACTCGATCCAGTAAATGACATTTTTGAAATCAATGGATGTTCACATAAAAATTTACCGATTTCAGCTGAACGAGTACTTGTTAATACATTAATTGCACCATCAGGAAATCCTGCTTCTTTAGCTAACTAAATAAAAGCAAAAATAAATCTATATTGCTTTACTATAGATCATCAAAAAATTTATATCGTTAATTTACATCACAGAGTACTAAACATGAATATGGTGTATCTTCAGCAGGTTTAACAACAACAGTACAACCAGCAGCTAATGCTGGACCTGCTTTACGTAATATCATTGAACTAGGAAAATTCCATGGTGTTATAAAACCACAAACACCAACAGGTTGACGAAGTACAAATGAACGACGATTAGGTAATGTTATTGGAAGAACATCACCATGAATACGTTTTGCTTCTTCAGCAAACCATTCAATATAACTAAACAATTAAAACATAAATATTTTCATGAAAATCTTTTGCATAGTCTTTACCTAGCACCATAAATTATTTCTCCAACGGCTTCTCTCAATGGTTTACCCTATGAAAATAATTAAATTAACAAATTATAGAAAATTTTCTGAAATGAGATACGTGTCCCAGTTTTGAACTCTTGCAATTCTCAAAAGTGTAACGTTATTGGCGAAATTCTTAGAATTCAGGAATTTCGAGTAACAAATCAACTGTAGGATTTCAAACAAAATTAACATCATCACGCTTTACTTACCTATAAATGTTAAACTACTATAATTGGTGTCCAACATTTAGAAATTCGTAACATCAAAAATGCTGCGAGAGAAGATATATATATACGGTACAATATTTTTCTTAAATATTCACATATGGGTATGGTTGTGGGTGTAGAGAGAACTAAAACCCAAACTCGCATTTTCACAGCCAAACCACAACCGTACCATTCTGAGACTTCCATAAGTGAAGCTACACTTTTGACAGTTTCAAGAGTTCACGGAATCTGACCATTGCTATGGAATAATTTCGTTTCATTTTTCATCGACTACAGCATTCTCTGAAAAAATCAAGAATATCTATTAAAAATCTATCTTAGAAACTCTTTCTAATAATGTCTTCCATAAAATTCTAATATCTTTTGTATATGAATACTATGCAAATTTTTCATCATATTAACTAAAGCAATTGTTTACTGTTTATAACCAGATTTGTGAAGAATTAAATAGAAAATCTACTAAAAACAAAAGTAACGAAATATAATAGACTGCATAGGAGATAATCCAAAAAAAAAAAAAAAAACGTCAAGAAATCAATTTGTTGTACAGAAACTATTTCAAGCTGTTTATAAAGAGATGTTTCAAAAAATGTTCCATACTCATCAACAAGAAGTATTAGAGTTTAATAAAAGATATTATTAGAAAGAACTTTCAACAAGATTCTAAATATGTTTGTGGGTCAATGAAAAATCAAGCGAGATTTATCCCGTAACTTTTGCATGACTCGTTAATATTAATCGATATATTTATTAAAATAAAATTACCATTTCAGTTGTTAAAACTTTTCCTAAGTGATCTTTATTTTTCAAAATTAAATCATTAAATTTTCTCAGTATAATACTTCGTTCTTTTCCAGTTTTAATTGACCATTTATTTTGAAATGTATTATAAGCTGCTTGAACAGCTTTTTCAGCATCTTGAATATTACAATCTGGTACACTACCTATTTCATTACCATTTGCTGGATTATAAACTTTAAATGTTTCACCTGATTGTGATGATACCCATTGACCATTAATATATGTTTGATTAAAAAATGAACGACGAATGTGATTTATTGATTGATTAAGACGAAATATAGAAGAATATTTAATTGCATACATTTTTCTTTTATTTTTATCTGAAAAATAAATTATCTTATAAATAACATGATAAGAGATCATTGGCTTGTGTTGAATCTATAAATCCTATTGTATTAGAAACAATTTTCTCTTTTTTTTTAATTGATTTTTCTGAAGGATTTTGATGACATGTTGAACAAAATCGAACAAGTTTTATTAGCTGTATAGAATTATCATTATCAACTCGACGTCGTTTTCGATCTAACAAAAAACAAATGAAAATAACTTTTTACATATGAAAATTGTTCCTAAATATTCATACAAAAATTATTGTCAACTACTGTTGTTGAAGACTGTAATTGAGAAATCTTTGCAATCCATCCACGATTAACTATTTCTTCCCAACCATTTTGTATTGAACAATTACATTCATGAAGATTATCAAATTCTTTCATAAATATTGATTTGTCCTAATGACAAAGAAAAAAAAAAAACTATAGTTAAATATTTCTTTGAAAAGTATAGAGAATATTTTACATGAGAAGCAACAAGTGAGATATACAAAGTATCAAGTGATGTTAATGCTTTCAGAAAACGTGCTGATCGACTTGTGAGATTATTTCCTAGAATAGATAAATTGATGATAATTGCTTTATCTATATAACATGAACTAACAATTTGTTTGAACATACTAAGATATGCAAATAATCGAACTACTTAACAGAAATGTTTTCTATGAATTTTTTATGATATACGAGAAAACACTGTCTTAGTTTTGAGATCGATTTATTTAGTTTATTATAATCTACTACAGCTTAAACTAGTGCCACAACAAGAGTAACCGATTACATTGAGAAACAATATCATCGTGCGATAACTTTATTTCTTTTTCTCACAACTAGAAACATACATGACCAAAACATGTCTTCTATTTGTTGGTTTTTTTTTTTCGTTCATTTCCAAGTCCAAATAAATAACTTATTTTACACACTAAATCTAAATCCAATATAAATCTAGGATTCAATCATCTTTATAGGATTAGTCAAGGATTGCAAAGCATTAACAACTCCGATTCAATTAGCAAAATTGACATAGGTGGCAAGACGATTTGAAATCTAGAGTAAGTTCAACAATCATTATACGATCCTCGTTGGAAACTTACGAATAGAAAGGAGAAGCGAGAATCTTTTTATACCATTCCTATGAAATACAGCTCATATTTCTTATTGCCAACGAATATTTTGCACTGTATAAAGTTGGTACAGTTCAGAAAAAAACCACAGGTTGCATCAGAAAACTTACACTTAAAGAAACATGAAAATCTTTTTTTTTTTTCATTAAATTTTGACTCTCGAAATACAAGTTTTCGATCTACTTGACTGAAAAATAGGATAATAGTAAAGCAGCAGTGTTCACAAAAAACAAAATTACATTGTGAGTTTGCTCACTTTGTTGAATATGTCTCTTATGTACCGAAGCATAGTCACAGAAGTCGAAGAAAACTTTCAATAACTTTTTATTTATCTAACTTGAGTTTTTTGTATAGTTCTTCTTGACTTGTAACAAAGAAGTACTACTTCAAATTATTGGTAATTTAAGACTCAACATTTAGTCATATAAAGTTTAATGTTTTTTTAAGAATATTTTCTAAGTCTGCTTCACTACGAAAATGTTACACTTTGTCGCCGATGGCGGTGAAAAATCTCGACGTTTCCACAAGAATTTCGATGTACTATATGCATCTATCGATTTGATGAAGCGATAAACAAATGCTTAAAGCTATACAAACCTCGTGACCCTGTCGTCTATGAAGAATGAGTCATCCATACATTTATAATCTCATTCACATAATGGGCAGTTTTTATCATAGAGATTCTTGTATTCAGAAATAAGATTCACGAAAAAACAAGACCACTTGCAATAAAAAAATCACTCAGGTCTAATTTATTCTAAACTCCTGTTAAACAACGTTTTATTTGAAAAATTGACAAAGAGCACACTGATCGATGCTGTTTTCTACACTAATTCCAAATATGTCTTTATTTCTCTTAAAATTCTTCTCTGATAAAAAAAAATCGCGAAAAACCTTTAAAAAACCAAGGTTTTTAGAAAATCTGTATATCAAACAAAACTCTTGTCTTTGAATGAATAATGATTTTTTTTGAGAACAAAAACTTTTCTTCTAAATCAATAGAGAACAATCCCTAATTTCACACTATTATATGACACATTTGCCAACTTTTTTTATTTGTCACAAAAAAATGATATTTTATACGATTATTACTAATCTTACCTTGAAGATGTAAACTATGCAGATTACATAAAGCTTTACTTCGAATTCTATTACTAGCTGTTAATAATCGAATATCGTCATCATCTAATCGATTAAAAGTTAATCTTAAATATTCAATATTTTCCATTTGTCCAATAATATTTAAAATCTGTGTTTTTTCTTCATAATCAAATTTTTCCAAAGCATATGAAAAATCAAATTGAATTACATTTAAATGTATACGTTTTAATAAATGAAGATAAAAATTAGCCGTTAAAAAATTTAAATTATTTGTTATAGAATAACAAAAACTTGTACAAAATATATCTGAATGATAATCTGTTAAAATATTGACTATTTTTATAAGATCATTTTCATTAATTATTGATAATGATGATATTGTTTTTAAATATTCATCAAAAATTTTTTCAACAATTTCATCTGGTAAATAACGACAACTTTCAATAGATAAAAAATATTTTCCCAATATACGAGATGCAAGATTAACAAGTGATGAAATCATTCTAGAAAAAAAGTGATTGCAATATGTCATGAAAAAAAAAAAGAAAATCGACAAATTCAAAATCATCCATTGATTGCTTATTAAATAAATAAAAAAGAAATGATACAGATTACATTTAACGAAAAAATAAGAAAAAAAATGGTATAGTTAGAAAGTTGTTCAAATTATTTTTTAAATGGAACAGCAGCTATAACAATAATAGCAATGAAAAGAAGTATAATAATAACCCATAACCATAATGCTGATGATTTTCGATCAATGACTTTAACTAACATTGTTTGACGTTTAACACGAGAATCAAGTAATCCTGTACGATCAGTTATTGTATCAATTATTTCATTATGTCTTTCAACTTCATTATTCATAGTAACACCTATTTCTTTTTGACGTTTAACTATTGCATGTAATGCTTCAATTGCTTCATCATTATCTAAAGATAATAAAACTCATCATGTTTTGACAATCATCTATAAATTTTGAAAAAGAAAATACTTTTTCGTAAATCTGAACGAAGTCCAGAAAGTGCTTCATTTGTTAAAGCTTGAGTATTTTCTGTTTCAACAACAGGTGTAAAACGTGGATCTAGTTGATCACGTGGTCTAATAGAAATAATCTATTAAAAATATTAATAAATAAATTATTCGAACTTACGCAAATGTATTAAAACTTTCTCTCATTGTTGTTTCAATTTCTTCTTGTGATTGTTTTATTGTATCGACTAATGTTCGTCGACGATTTGCTTCTCGTGATGTTCTATACAATAAAAAGATATATATGTATATAGAAATAAAATAAAACTCTAGAAAAAAGATTTACATAACACCATTACGAGATTGACCAGATAAATCATTCGAAAGTTTATCAACATCTTTATTAAATTCTGTTATCATCCTACGAATTATGGATGATATCTAGAAAAGATTTATCAAGATTTTTAATATCTGGTAAAAAAAAAATTAATTATTTACTTTAGCTCGTTGTGGACTAGCATTAGGTAATTTTTTAAATTCATTTATTTTCTCATTGATTTCTTGTGCATAATTTTTACAACTTTCATAATTTTGAATCCTATAATATAAAGAAAATAGATATGATGAATTCTTGTAGATATTATAATCTGTTCAAATACAAAAATATAATTCTAAATTTGTAATCAAAAATCAATTGTCAATTTCATGATAAATGTTTACTGATTTGAATATTGGATCAATACTTGAAATCAAACATATGCAAACAATTTTATCTGATTCAAATTTGAAAACTCTTAATTCAGATTGAAATATTATTTGTTTGTCTTTTATTGATCGAATTGTTTTTAAGATCGATGAATTATTTATTATAAGACATTTTCTATTTTTTTACGAATCATTAAATTTGATTTTATTTATTAAAAAAAAGACACACAACAGCAAGTTATCTCACCATTTGTCCGACATTCTTTTTTTATATACTCGTTTGGATCGATTTGATCTGAAAAACGAATAGAAAAATGGATTTTCCTCTTGAATATGACTCTTTTCTTGCTGAGATATCGTTTATTGCGAAAGAATAACAATAAAAAAAATACTTATAGATTGGCACATTATAAAATCTAATAATAAAAGCTTTTTCTGTTTTTCACTAATCAAATAAAGTACATTTATTTTTAAACACCTGCTCCTTGTTTTCCAGTTAATGTTGAAACTAATGTTCCTTCTTCATCCATTTGTTTAAGTATATCTAAACCACCAATAAGTCGTCCGTTAACATATATTTGTGGATATGTTTGCCATGATGAATATTCTTTAAGTTTTTGTCGAACATTTTCATCTTGCAATATATCAAATGTTTTATAATCAGTTATATTAGCTTTAGATAATAAATCAATCAATTCTTTTGTAAAACCACAACGTGGTGTTTCGGGTGTGCCTTTAATAAAAAGCATTAATGGTGCTTGACTAATTAAACTGTCTAAATATTTCTTCATATTTTTTTCTTTTTCATTTGTTTTTTGATCTTGTAATTTTTTTTCAAACTCTCCATTTTCAATCATTTGTTTCATTATATCTAATCCACCAATTAATTCACCATCAACGAATAACTAAAATAAATTTTTTGAAAAAAAAAAAAAAAAAAAAGAATTTTTTTATTTTTTTTTATTTTTGACATTACTTGTGGATACGTATTCCAATTTGAATGTTTTTTTAATTGTTCACGTACATTTTCATCAGCAAGTACATCAAAATAATCATAGTGTATTTTATGTTCATCAAGTAAATGACATGCTTGTCGACTAAAACCACATTGTGGACTAGCTGGTGTACCTTTCATAAATAAAATAATGGGTGACGAATAAAGTAGTTTTTTTATTTTATTTTCAACATCCTCTATTTGTACATCACTATTAGATTTAATTTCTGTTGCTTGTACAATACCAATTGTATTTATATGTAATTTAATTTTTTTTAATAAATCGGATTGATTAAAACCGTCAACACGATCATTAATTTTAGCTTGATGATAAAAAAGAATTGTTGGTGCTGCATTAACATTTTCACTATTAAGTAAATCATAAAAATGATCAGCATTTAAACGACATATAGCTAATTGTTCCATAAATTCAGGATCACGACTTATAGCTAATAAACCTTCATTAACTATTTTACAAACAGTAATTTGTTCTAATTCGATATGAGCTAATAGTAGTTTATTTATAATTGATGGTGAACTTATATATTCATCAAATATTTTTTCAGTAGATATTTGATAAACTTCATTATTGTTTTGTTTCGTCATCTAGATTATCTAAGACAAAAAGTAAAATAGTTCAAAACAAAACAAAAAAAACAATGAAACAGTCTTCTCAAGAAATTTTAATTCATTTCTTCTTTCATTTTATTCTATATACAAAACACACGTTAATATCCCTTGTTACAATAACACATAACACTGAAGAAATAAGACACTTCATGCACAATAGAATTTGATTAAGACACTTCTATCTCTTGTTTTGGTTGTTTCTGTTCATTTAATGATGACGATTACGACGCGATGGTGAACGGCTACGTGAACGTGATCTAAATTTAACAAAAAAAAAAAAATTATAATCATTCTCTATTATTTAATACAAACCGTTTTCGACGTTCGCGAATACGTTTTTTGACTTCAGGTGATAAAGTTTTAATATGCATAAAATTACAAAAACCACTTCTCATACACTAAAAACAGAAGAAAAATCAATCAAAATAACAAAATAAAAATGTTTTACTTCGCCTAATTCATACTGTCGACAACTTGCTTCTTTAAAATCCGTCACTGGACTAAATTAAAATTAAGATTGATCTTATAGTAGTCATCAAAAATTCTACTACTGAATAAAAAGTATCTAAATGTGAATTGTTTGGTTTCATATGTTGGCAACAAATAGAGCGTGACGAACTATGATTGCAAGCAATAACAAGAAATTTGTTGGCCTTTATGCAAAGAAATGAGAAGGTCAACATTAATATTTTATTCAGACAAGAATATTTCAGTATCAGAAATAAAATGTCAGTGTTTGATCCCTCATTCGAGAGTCTAGTATTGATAAAAATTTCATAGTAAACAATCGTAGTTTCTTTGATTTGTGAAATTATCTTTGGGTATTCGTAATCATGAATAGTTGATTAGAATCTCCTATTTATGATACACTCAAGACAACATATGGAATATTATTTGTCAATAAAAAGAATGGATATTTACGCTTCAGAATAATGGCAAATCAAAAAAGTCTTTTCAAGTTCAAAAAAAAAACAGTGTCTTTTTCTAAATCTAATGCATTAAATATAATTGATCTCGGATTGATGCTTGCAATCAGGGTTTATCAAGCTGTGTTTCTAGTAAAAATTTCAGACAAAAAAACATTCAAATTTAAGTACTTTTTACTAAATAGTAAAACTTTTGATGATAACTATATGATAAATTATTAATATTTCATACCTTAGTTCGGCATAAATTGGTTTTCGATCAAACCATCGTGTATTAAGATCAGCAACAGCTCGTTCTGCATCTTTTTCATAACGAAACTAAATCAGAATAAATAGTTTTTATATTGATTTATTGTTATATTTCTTCTTACTTTAATATAAATATTTCCAATAAGATGTTCTCCAAGATTGTCGCATACAGTCATTGCTTCAATTTCTCCATACTAAAATCGTATTCACGATAATCCAATATAAGAAAATAAAAAGAATGAAGGAAATAGGGGAAAACATTAGTCCTAAAAAACCTGTAAACACATGAAAGGTTTTTTTTAAAGTTTTATAATGAAAAAAAAAAAAAAACGTTGTGTTTGTTTATATAGATATTTATCAATCTACCTTTTTGCTTTTTTTTTTCTAATATGTACAGCTGTTTGATTAATAGAAAAGAAATGTAGAGATCCTCCTGCAAAAATGGGACTGCAAAAGTGATAGAAATATATATATATATATATATAATTTAATATTATATATTGTACGTGTTATTTTATTTCCATTGAATATATATATAACACAAGATGTGAATGCTGTTGGTTCAAGCCTGCAATAATCGATAGAATCTTAGGGAAATAGGAAGAGACAAGCAAAAACAAGCATAAAAGATTAGTTGTGTGTTTTTTTTTTTTTTTTAATATTTCTTGTCTAATCGAAGAAATTAAATGTGGAGCTGTTCACTTTACTAAAGATGAAACTTACCTTATCTTCAACTTCAGTATAAACTTCTTCATAAAATTCACTAATTAAAAACAAAATTTTTATTATAATCATAATTTTAAAATGAATATTTACTCGAAATGTTGTTGAACTTGTTCATCTGTATAAGTATTTTCTTCAAAGTGCTCAGCTATAAAAATAAAAAGTTGAAATATTTTTTAAAATAAAAAAATAATTCTTTTTTTTTTTTTCACTTTGCCGAAACCACCTTCTTGTTTTGAAATGGCGTTTTTTTTTTGATTAAGATAGAGATTAT